TTAGAGTACCTAATCATTTTTAGGTGACATAAGGTGACCTGTGAGTTGGTTCTTTAAAACTAAATATTTTGAGCAGCTCCTCTATTTTGAATATGTCAGACCAAATGGTGTGCCAGAAAACAAATGATATGTAAAAAACAAACTGATTCATTATTCATCAGATGTGTTTTTTAAACACCCATTTAATTCTAAAACTGCAGAAGGAAGTGTTTTCTTGACATTTCTGATTGATGTCACATCAATATGTATAAATATAAGCATCCTGATTATGAAGGTGAATAAAGTAAGACAATGACTACAAACTACAGAAACATTTTCTGTTTTAAATTAAGCTTCACAATTCTAGACTTCAAGTTATATTACAAAGCTGTAGTGATCAAAAGAGTATGGTACCAGCACAAAAATAGATACATAGATCAAAAGAACAGAGTAGAAAACCCAGAAATGAACCCACAACTATATGGTCAATTAATTAATCTTCAAGAAGGCAGGAAAGAATACCCAATGGGAAAACATCCTTTCAACAAATGGTGTTGGAAACCTGGACAGCAACACAAAAAGGAATGAAACTGGACCATTTTCTTACACTGTACACAAAAATAAATTCAGGGGCGCCTCGGTGGCTCAGATGGTTAAGCGTCTGCCTTTGGCTCAGGTCATGATCCCAGAGTCCTGGGATTGAGCCCCATGTCAGGCTCCTGGCTCAGCAGGGAGCCTGTTTCTCCCTCTCCCTCTACTGTTTTCCCTGCTTGTGCTCTCTCACTCTCTCTGTCAAATAAATAAACAAAATCTTTAAAAAATCAAAATAAATTCAGAAAGGATTAAAAACCTGAATATGAGTCATGAAATCACAGAAATCCTAAAGAAGGACACAGGCAGTAACCTCTTTGATATTAGTCATAGCATGTTTTTCCTAGACATGTCTCCTGAGGCAAGGGAAACAAAAGCAAAGAATAAACTATTGGGACTTCATCAAAATAAAAAGCTTCTGCACAGAGAAGGATACAATTGTCAAAACTAAAAGACAACCTATAGAATGAAAGATGTTTTAAATAGCATATCTGATAAAGGGTTAATATCCAAAATCTATAAAGAATTTACAAAACTAAACACCCCAAAATTGAATAATCCAATTAAAAATGGGCAGAAAACATGAATAGACATTTTTCCAAAGAAGACATACAGATGGCCAACAGTCACATGAAAACAGATCACTGATTATCAGGGAAATGAAAATCAAAACTACAATGAGATATCACCTCACATGATTCAGAATGGTAAAAACAACACAAGAAACAACAGGTTTTGGGGAGGATGTGGATAAAGTGGAACCCTCTTGGTAGGAATGCAATGTGGGGCCACCACTGTGGAAAACAGTATGGAGGTTCCTCAAAAAGGTAAAAATAGAACTACCCTACAATCCAGGAATTGCACTGCTAGGTATTTACCCAAAGGATACAAAAGGATACTGATTTGAAGGATACATGCACCCCAATGTTTATAGTAGCATTATCTACAATAGCAAAATTATGGAAACAGCCCAAGTGTCTGTCTACTGATGAATTGATAAAGATGTGTGTGTGTATATATATATATATATATATGAAATAGGACATGGGGATTAAGGAGTGCACTTGTGATGAGCATGAGGTGTTGTACAGAAGTGTTGAATCACTAAATTGTACACCTGAAACTAATATACTATATGTTAACTAACTGGAATTTAAATAAAAAACTTAAAAAATATATCTGGTAATATGTTGTTAGCTTTATAGAAATACCTGAATGTGACCTGCCAAGTAAAGCTGAAAATAATTTTAGCTAAGTATTTATAATTATAAAAAAATTAAATGCTTTCTTCTGTTGTTGAGAATGTGGAGGAAACCTTGCCTTTCCCTTCCATAAATACTGTGACATTGAGCAAAAGTTGTTGGAAGAAACAAATGTATTGTCAAGAAGTAAGAAAGAAATTGAAGGGCTTTTTGAGTTAATGGCTAACATTTGCATATATTTTAGGGGCCTAATGAGATAGTAATCATGCTGTCCAAGATACAGTTGAGCCTGAATGGGCAGGCTAGTCTCATGCTCTGAGTGGAGCCATTCTTTTCGTGATTTACCAAATGATCATGGCCAACGGTTTAAACCTTTGTTTCCTCACTAGCTAATTAGATTTAGTGAATTTCTTGGCCCATATCCATCCCAGAACCTATACAGACTTGATTTTGGTTAAAAACCTGTACTTCTGAGTATTTCTCAGGAACTCTGTATCTTGATTCATAGCTTATGCTAATGTAGTCATTGCTGCAAGTAAAAGTTATCCCTCTGAAGCACACTCTCCTCTCTGGATTATCTTTCAATGACTATACCCACTTTAATTTTCCAAAACCCAGATATCATGTTGTTGTATGATAAGCAGTAATAGTCGAGCCACTAATGACTGCATCCTTTTCTGGATTCACATACCACAAATTATTATATTAACTTCTTCACACTTTATTCTAAGTCTGTTTTGCCTTTATGCTTACCCTGTAATCTTGACTCTACTCAAACGTGGTATCTCCTAGACCTCAGAACTTCCTGAGTACTTTCTCTTGTCTTATAGCTTGGCCAAAATATTGCCCTGGCACATGATATAACACATAAGCATCCAGTACATGGCCAGGTCTGTGTTAATGTTGTATTATAGCACATTGTGCCTATTCATTTTCGTTTTAGTTCTGTGGGCATAGTAGAATAATTATCTCCTACTATTGCAAGGAAGCAGTGGTAAAGCCCAGAAAAGCAAATTTGGCTACATTATAGGGTCCTTGGGAAAGCCTGAAGGGTACCCCTTCATTCTTGAGTGATTTCAAAATGACATCTTTTAACATTTCCCAGTGAATAATACATGCATCTCTTAATCCTCGAGCCTTGTTAAACAGTAAGAAAAAGTGAAATGAGCACTGGATGAGGTGTCAGAGATGTAGGTTGTAGCCTTTTCTCTGTCATAGACTCATAGAGGTACTTGGTACAGTCATTTCAATTCTCTGAGCCTGTTTTTCCAATTGTAAAATGCAAAACTGTCAATGTATGCCATTTTTTCAAAGCATAAAAGAGTCTTAGATGTTTTCCATCGCTCCCATCAGTGACAGGATTTGAATCTGTTTCTGACAATTTTCTTTGACTCAGGGTCTACAGATGGATTCTCTAGACCTATGGCACAAGAAAATGGCTTTTGGGAGGTTACTTTAATGGGCAAGGGAAACAGCACTATCTGTGGTCCCTTCTTTCAGGATTAGGTAGGGTTCAGAAGAAAGAGTTAAATTCCCTTTCTGACTCTGAGTATCTGATTAATGCCAAAAGTGTCTATGAGAAGAATTCAGAAAGCATGTTTCTTTCTCCTATTCCTTTCAGTTACCCAGTGCAAAGGTGGAAAATTGAGTTCATTCATTCTTAAGGGTCTCTAGGTGAAAATTCACTGAATTTTTTGGAGGAGTCAATGTTCCACTTTGTATTTATTCACTTTTACAATATTCAGTACTATATTGTACCAGCCCAAACAGAATAGATACATTAGATGATTCCTGTCTCACAGAAATATTGCTGAAAACATAGCAAGGTAGAGAAGTACATGTGTTTAGAAATGCAAATAATATTTTCTATAATAAAAAAATACCCTCCTCAGACACAAACTTCTTGAAAGATGGTTTTTACATGATCCAGATATTTGCTAGTGTGGCTGGTGGAATCTTTCCTCCAGCTGAAAAGCTTGAATTCCATCTATAAGATTAATGCATTTGCCACAATACCTGATATTTACAGCAACTGAAGGAAAGTAATAGTCCTTGCTGAATGATTCAAAACTCTCTAACAAATGTAGATCTAGCTGAATAAAATTATACCCCTTTTCTTCCCTGAAAAGATTAGAGCAGTATAAAATGAAGTCCATGAAAAAAATTAATAAAAAAAAATAAAATGAAGTCCATGCACACTATAGTTGACAGCAGAGAAAGGAGCAGGAAAGTCATTTGAGATTTCATCCTGAGTCATGTTGAAAATCCATCCTTCCTTTTTTATAATCTCTGAATGCAGTTCTTAACAGTTACATGCTACTGATAACCCATCATTTGGTTTAAAGTTAGGAGGCACCTTCCTAAATATTTTTACTTGAGCATGAAAGAGAAACAACACACAAACCAGGAAACAATTTTACTTGCATTTTGTCAAAATAAGTTGATTATGAGTATATAAAAATGTAAAATTAATCTAAAATCAATCAGCCCATTGTTTTTTTAATGTACTGATTATTCTGATAGATACAGCCTATCTGTGAAAAACAGAGCAACTATATATCTTGTCTTCTTATTTCTTTTCTCTCATTATAAATGTGTTTTGTTGTCATTGTTGTTCTGGAGTGCTCTCTTTGAAAACAGAATCTCTACACCTAACATTAATTACAGTTCACATTTGCAGTAAAAGTATGTAACTTATACAAGCTGATAAGAACATGCATTCATATTAGTAAAGGTCCTGAGACATTATGGTTCTTATTTTTTAATCATAGCTCATTTTGAAAATAACAAAAATCTAACCATTTGAATCATTTAACAGATAAAAATATCACCTCCAAAGAATTACAACAAAGAGTAGATAAACAACATCCTGCGCACTTTGCGAGTAACTATACTTAATACAGAGTTGGTTAAATTACAAATGTTCATGGGGCTATTTTATTCAGTAGCAACTGAGTGAAACATTAGGAAAAATCTCTCCATGTCAAACGTACATTTCTCCCTTTCTAACTTACCTGCTCCTCCCACATCAAGCAGCCAACTGTATAATTATTTTTATTTGTGCAAATACTAAGGAAATGACATACAAGGATGGTCCAGGTTCATGATATCCATACCACCCTTAGATCTAACAGGTTACCCAGAACCTGATGTGAAGACACAAATTCTAGATATTAATAATAAAAGGCCCAGATAAAATCTAATTATTCATTAAAAAAAGGAGCCTACCATTTCAGTTTCTTTCTGTCTTCTCCAGAGATCTCCAAAGAATTCAAGCGATAGCCACTCCAACAAGGATACTACTGATATATGCATCAATTCCAGCTCCCTGTTCTGAGAAAAACCAATCCAGTCCTTTCTCACTATCAAAAGATAAAAGGAAATAAAGAAAAAAAGAAAGAAGAGAAAGAAAGAAAGAGAAAGAGAAAGAGAAGAAAGAAAAGAAAAGAAAGGAAGAGGGGAGGGAGGTACAGAGGGAGGGGGGAAAGAATAATAAGAAACCAAATTTTTAAAAAAGCCAAAGGAAAAATGAAGATAGCAAAAGGAAAAAAAAAAAAAAGAAAATTCTCAGCATTACCTAACCACTACCAAATTGGAAAACATGGTAGTGAGATGTCAGAGTTAAATATGCAAGCCTCTGTGCACACTGAACATTTCCGTTTTCCAGCTGGTAGCTTGAGCTAACAAGCTTACTGGTGCTCAGTCTCTCTCTCTCTCTCTCTCTTTCTCTCTGATTAATGATGCAGAACTATGCTATGGGCTATACATAAAGCCTGCTAAGCTTCACACTTAGCAAAAAAAAAAAAAACCTCTTGTTTCTATTTATAGGGCCACTGTGCTTTGTCTTCCAATCCTGTGGTTGCACTAAGCTTTGAGTTTGTGACAATACATGGCCTATTTGTTTATGGAGCCTTCTGCAGAAGTTATGTGCCCTCTGGCCCCTTTCATAGATAGTGGACCACTTCAATATTCACTGTGATTCTTTCCCTCAGGCCCTCAGTTGTAGTGTTCAGGTATAAAAGTAGACACTCCTTACCTAAAGTTGCCCTTAGGTAGCTCCCAACAGGAGAGTTCAAAGTGGGAATGACCTCTGCCTAAGGTATTCTTAGATGTGCAAACCTTTAAACCCCTGAGATTAAAATAAATATTCTACTCTTTAAGAAAAACTTTAAGATATCTAACTCACCTCCCACTTCCTGTTCACCCACTCCCCATTCCCCCCAGAGTCCTCAGCCAGGAAGTGCAAGTAAACCCCCATTTCCTCTCAGTGGTTAGGGATAATTGGGTGAAAAGAGCCTGATTTCCTGTAGCCCAGATCCTTAGCCACAGCCTGTTGAAGATGGTGTTCCAAGGAGCCTAAGAGCTCCAGACCCCAGCACCACACTGTATGGGACACCTAATATACCACCAACGGCAGCAGCACCCCTGAGAGGTGAACAACGGGTGACTGAAAGCAATCTCCAAGATATAAGCAGTATTTTAGATCAGAGCAAGGGAACTTTTCACATAGACCGTGTGAGAAAGGAGTATATTAGTGCAGATCCAGCCTCATGCCAGGACATACCTTCACAGTATATTATAGGAAGCATCTGTAGGACCCTTTACCTCAAATACTTTCTTCACTAATGCCTGAAACACAAGTCCTTTGGAGGCAAGCATTCCCTTCTTCCTGAGTCTTGATTTTCAAATCCTGACACTCTTAGAAATATACTTAGTTGAAAACTTTGTTGTGAATGAATTTATTAGAATTGGAAAGATGAGAGTAGATGATAGCAGCAGGATATAAAAGAAAAATGAAAAGATTCCAGGACACAAAAACTGAATTACAAAAGCAATCGTTAATGATTTTGCACTAAGCTAGCTATGGTGAGAGAAGTTCTGAGCAAGTGTAGAAAATATAAGGGAAAGGGGTAAATTAATCTAAGTTTGTATTAGGTCAGATATATTGACAACAGATCACAATTCATTTCCCTGGTGTATCTTTTTATTCTGTACTTCACAATCTGGCAGAATATGGCATTAATGTTTTGTTTATTTAAAGAAAATTTTCCTACTTGCTTTTTGCTGTGTTTAGAGTTTATTGTGATGCTCTCTCTCTTCACTCAGACTTAGCTCCATTCATCAAACACCTACTGAATAACTGCCAAATGCAGACCAGTAGGTCAAATATAGAGAGAATGAAGGAAAAAGAGTAAGAGAGAGATGGTGGTAAACCAAAGGATACCACCTCCCAGAAACTTTTTAGAACGTAGTTAAGCAGATAAGACATTGTGTTGTTGCCTCAAATATAAGGCAACATACATGTCATAAGGGCCTAAAAATGCCATATCTGCTGCTGTAAGATTTTACAGAAGAAGCCAGGGATCCCAGGGGCCTGGGATAAGGAATGGAATTTCAGGATGTGAGTCAGGAAAGTCTTCCAGGAGAATGAGAGTTTGGGCTGAGCCTATTAAGAATGGCAGGACTTCAATAAATACAGAACAGAAAGATATTTTTCAGATTTCTAAAAACCCATCAATTGTACTGCTTTGTATAGGCTCACCTTCTATTACCCTCATGTTCTTCCTACCTGCTTCCACCAAGTAAGATTTGGGCATGGACATATCAGTCTTGAGGTTTCAACTGGCTGTCCAAAATAGAACTCGTAGGAGCCAATCTTCATGTATTTTTGACATAAAATACCTGGTAGTAAAATTTCCCGACCTAGTCTGTATTCATCTTTTTTATTTAGATCAAGAAACTTTAGCCCAATCAGAATTAAAGTAATTCCCCTATAGGAACATTGTTAAATTCCACTCCAAATGGATCAAATAAGAATACTACATCAAAGCTGAATGGAATATGAGTGATGGTTTAGTCTAAGCTCTAATTTTAAAGGTGAAGAAGGTAAGAGAGAAGGAGCTATTCATGTCTCATGATGAATTAAGCCTGGACTTAAACCAAGGATTCAAGAAATTTTTAAGACAATGTCCTCACCAAAGTCATTTCCATCTTGCTAGTGTCTCATGGCATTAATGATATGGATAATTTGTTCACAATTATATCATCTGTGGCAAGGTTTTGTCTTACTTAGTTACATAGGAAAGGTCAAATATCACATAAACGCAAAAGCTGAATTTTATGCCTCTGCCTTTATACATAAAAGGGGTGGATATTTTGAATCACTTAGATCTACTTTAAAAAGAAAAAAGTTTAAGCCCCCTCAAATTAGAGATACAAGCCAAGACAATTTATATATCTTTTCCCTATAGTGTAATTTTGAAATATAAAATATATTAAAGTAAAAAAAAAGGGAAGATGGTGGCAGAGTAGGAGGACCCTAGGCTCACCTCCTCCCACAAATACAACAAGATAAGGATCAAATCATCCTAAATGCCTCAAAAATTGACCTGAAAATTGCCAGAACAAATTCCACAACTAAAGGTAGAAAAGAGGCCACATCGAAGAAGGTAGGAAGTGCAGAGATGTGGCTTGGTAGAGAAATGGATTGTAGTCCCTGCAGTGGGGATGGAGCCATGGTGGTGGAGAAGGATGAGAGACAGACTAACCCAAGGGGGAGTGCATGGGGAAAAGGAATCCCCATAGTAATTGGCTTGGAAAGGAAGAGGGGATGAATTTTGTGACTTCTGACAACCACCTGGGCTTAAAGCCTGGAGTTTTAAAGGTCAGTGGGCTTGGCTCCAAGACAACATAGAGAACACTGGGGCTGCTCTTGGAGAAAAAGCAGGGCAAAGAGGCTGTGAACATACAGCATGAAAACAGCAATCTGGAGAGCACCTGGGGCACAGAGTGGGGAGGTTATTTGCTCATTTCAGAGCATGTACCTAAGAGGCAGTATTCACAGAGAGACCCCTCCAGTAGCAAAGAGACTGGGAGGCATCATTCCTCTCCCATCCCTTCAGCATAAGCTCACTATTTAACTCGCTTACACCAAGACCTGAACCCCTTCACTCCAGTGGAACAACCCTTCCCTTCCCTGTCATGCTTATGTCAGTAGAGGGCGGTGGAAACCCTCCTTCAGAAGTCTTGGGAATTTTGCAGGGACATGATTCTGCAGGTGGTGGCAACAGGTACAGTTTTACAAGCAGACTAGAGCACAACTTCTTAAAACTTGCCACATTCAGGTCAGGGACCAAACAGTGTACACAACAGGCAAAGAAAGCTTCTGCAGACTACTGGCCTAAAAGATAAAGCAACCTGGATAAACCAGCAGAGTTCACACTCCGAAACACCAGGCCCTAGAGAATGAAGGACACTACACTGAAGGGCAATTCAGGACCTCTTCTATATAAATTCATTGCCTCAAGAACAGATGTAGCTGATTTTCCTAGCACAGAGAAACAGGCACTGAGACTTAGGCAAAATGAGAAAACAGAGGAATTTATCCCAAGTGAAATAAAAGGACAAGGCCACAGTCAGAGATCTACCAAAACAGATATAAGTACATGCCTGATAGAGAATTGAAAGCAATGATTGTAAAGGTACTCACTAGACTACAGAAAAGAGTGGAAGGCCTCAGTGAAATCCTTACCACAACGATAAAGAATAATATAGCAGAGATAAAGTGTTCAATAAACAAAATGAGAAACACACTAGATAGTATGGACAGCAGGCTGAAAGAAGAAGAGGAATGAATTAAGGACCAAGAAGACAGTAATGGGAGGCACCTGGGTGGTTCAGCCATTAAGTATCTGCCTTCAGCTCAGGTCATGATCCTAGGGTCCTGGGATCAAGCCCCACATCGGGCTCCCTGCTCCGTGGGAAGCTTGCTTCCCCTTTTCCCACTCCCACTGCTTGTGTTCCTGCTCTCGCTATCTCTCTCACCATCAAATAAATAAATAAATAAAATATTGAAAAAAAAAGAAGACAGTAATGGAAAGTAATCAAGCCAAACAAAAGAGAGAAAAAAGAATTATGCAAAATTATATCAAACATAATAACATTCATATTATAGGAATCCAAGAAGAAGATAGAGAAAAGGGGGCAGAAAATATATTTGAAGAAATAATAGCTGAAAACACTCCTAAACTGGGGACAAAACAGATATCCAGACCCATGAGGCAAAGAGAACCCCCAACAAAGTCAACAAAAGCAAATCCACACCGAGACATATTGTAACTAAATAGGGAAAATGTAGTGATAAAGAAAATATTTTAAAAGAAGCAAGACAAAAAAAAAAAAAAAAAAGACAGTTACATACAAAGGAGAACCCATAAGGCCATCAGCAGATTTTTCAGCAGAAACTTTGCAAGCAAGAAAAAAGTGGCATGATATATTCAAAGTGCTGGATGGGAAAAATCTGCAGCCAAGAATATTCTATCCATAAAGGCTATCATTTGGAATAGAAGGAGAAATTAAAAGTTGCCCAGACAAACAAAAACTAAAGGAGTTTGTGACCACTAAATCAGCCCTGCAAGAAATATTAAAGGAGACTGAGTGGAAAGGAGAGACCAAAAGTGATAGTAAGAAGGTAGGAAATACAAAAGCAGTAAAATAAATATTCTGTAAAAAAAAATAACTCAATAAGTCACAAAATAAAAGATGTAAAATATGATACTGTATACCTAACACTTGAGGAGGAAAGGAGAAAAGAATGGAATCAAACTTAAATGACCATTAACTTAATAAAAAATGCTATATACAGAAGAGGTTATATAAAAGCCTAATGGTAATCATATATCAAAAGCCAGTAATACATATGCAAAGAAAAATACAGAAAGAAATCC